TTCCAATGGACGAATTTAGGCAATTTGGTTCAATAATTAGTGTGACAACAGACGCCATTTTGGAACGCTGTATGAGCAGCCTGCAACCACCTGGAGAAAATAAGGTCGCACGGTCAATTGTATTGAAAAAATAATAGGGCCGGCAGAAAAAAATAGGGTCAGTCGGGAACCGGAACCACAGGTATTTTTTTACGCCTAATGATGGTAGAGGTACCATCATTATCACCATCACCAAAATGATCACCACTGTCACCATAACTGGTGATGATTATGATGGTCACAATGGTGATAAAGGAAATAATGGCAGATGTCATTTTTTGTTCTTACCAAGTTTAACTCCATTCTTGGTATAAAAGGCAGTATTATCAATCATATTCACACCACAGCCAATCACATCACCAGTAGTAAAAGTCGGACCGTAGGGTTTGCCCGTGCCAGACGACGAGAATGAATTACCATCATCACCATGGTAACCATACGACTGTTTTTCCCAACCTGGAAAAGATAAAGGGACACATGTATGTAGGATGCAACTACCTGAAAAATATACAGAGCATTTCGACGTTTAGAGCGAAGGTGAATTACTACCTACGTACAAATTCCAGACAAAGCGCCTTTGCTCGAAACATCGAAATTCTCCTTATATTTTTCCCTACCAACAAAAGCTTATTATAGACCTTGGACCCTGTCAGGGTCTGAAATTTGCAGTATCGCAATATCCACAAAATACTAAAATTTGGTTTTGGATATCAACCTGTGAATGACTTGTATCCCAACTGGATACTAAGAAAATTTCAAACATTAGGAAAATGTTAAGCACCTCTGACAGTCTCCTGATAGCTTTTGAATACTATGAGTTTGCCACCCAACCCTTTCCTCATTTTATGTGCATTTTTGTGCATTAATGAATTGTCTAGTTGTTGACTGTTGAATCCCCTGTTGTCTATTGTATTATGATCTACAAGCGTACTATTAATGCTACTCCGGAGTACTTAAACAGACTATTAAATTTAAATAGCCAACAACATTCGCGGAACACTCGCAGTGCTGATTTAAGTTTAGTAACTCTGAAATACAATAGAGCTACTGAAGCCGGAAGAACTTTTTCTATAACCGCTATAGGCCTCTGGAACAGACTACCTTTAAGTTTCCGTTCTGCTAGCTCCATCAACTGTTTTAAATACTTATTATATAATTGCTTCCGTACGCACCAGAGTGAATTTAAACAATTTACTTCTTTTCCTGATTTTAAATTTAAGTAATATATAATTGTAATATAGCTATATAATGTTCTCTTTTATATAAATGTAATGTCATATATACTTCATGTAATATAACCTTTTTAATTAAGTAAACTTGAAAGTCAACTGAATATTGATTTATAATATATATATATATATAAATGTTGTAAATAGACAATACCTGTAGATATACTCCCTAATTTTTTGTAAATTTTATGAGGGCCACAAGTTCATTAGTACTTCGTACTATTAAGTGTCACCCTCTTTAAATAAAGTCTCTATCTATCTATCTATCTATCTATTGTAATTTGTAACAGTGAGAGTTATGGAAACATATTTGGATGGGACAGGGTATAATACTTATGGTACCAGTATCCAGAAGTGGGATAGTGGATTCTCAGGGGGGGATACTAAACTTTGAATCCTGATATCCCAGTTGGATACTGAGAAAAAATATAAATTTCAGACCCTGACTGTTTGATGAACAAACAGTTCTGTTTTAATAGAGGCACAGAATAGGAAGGTACAGCAGAAGCGTAACTCAAGCAAGTATTTGTCCGCGTTTTTACAAGCGATTCGTCATCAATCACGCCATCCTGGCTAGTACAACCGGCACTTTGTACCTACCAAAACCTGATAAAAACTTCCGGTTGTACTAGCCAGGATGACATGGATTGGTGTGAGCGAGTTAAAATTTTCGTGGACGTAAAACAATAAGGGGAACGACTGGAGTTACGCTTCTGCTGTACCTTCCTATTCTGTGATAGAGGTGTGATTCAATAAGGAGCTAAGGAATACCTGGCAGTCTACTTAAGTTTACTCCATTTGCAGAAAGACCAATCCCCATATATCTAAAACATAACACAAAACAGATATCGCAAGGAAATACACAGTATTTATCCACAGATTAAAGACACATTTTATGTGATGAAAATTTGAAATTTACCCATCTCTTCCTTTGCTAATAATTTTGATTTCAAAATAATAAAGTCCACAGGATGCGGGTATCGAATGACTTGTCCTTACTGCCGCAGCATCCTTGTGAGTTCTACCAACACCTACAAACATAATACATGCTATTACTCATTTACTTACTGATTTTGATAATTTGTTTAAATGCAGTCCATTTGGAATTTAGTTACATACATTAAAGCACCAGCGCTCTCCCCTTGACGAGTAAAATCGTCTTTTTAGACAGAGTAAAATAATAAAGTAGGCAGGGCTTAAAAATAGGCATACTGACATACGATAACATTGTACTGTATGCTGAAATTAGCTTGGCATATGCCAAGCATTTCAGACAAGTAGGATTGTGTACACTTTCTGCAGCAGAGCTGAACTGTTACCCCTTTCTGTTTGCCTTAAAATCCTTCAGACAATGAACAAACATTTGCCTCTAACCCTGATTCTGAAATATCCATATGGATATTTATAACAATCAAACATGATTCAGAAACATTGATCCAGAAACATTGAGTTCACTGCTCGAATCCCGGATCGCCATCTTTGTTTACGTGTTTAAATCCAGCATTTCAAACGCATTTCTATACAGGAATTTTATACAAAAACTAGTATACAAAATCGGACATCAACATTGATAAACGTATGTCAACTTACAGTAGTACAGAGAGCGTACAACATTTCTGATTTATTTTTTAAGACCATTAGGATGCAATGTGACTTACAGGTAAACTATGTGAAGCGTTCCTCTTTTGACTTCGTAGCTCATTTGGAATTTTCCTCATTAGCTTTGCAAATTTGAAAAACTCTTTGCAAATCCCTTGAGGGAATTTGCAATGTTCCTATTGGCTGTTGCAATATTCCAAACTTCATTTTAAATTTTCCTAACTTCATGCTTTAATTTCCTAACTTCCTGTTCTGTTCTGAGCGTTGTTATTGGTCGATTATTTTTGTTAGCCAATTGCAACGCCCAGAACAGAACAGGAAGTTAGGAACTTGTAACAGGAAGTTAAGAACTTCTAACAGGAGCTGAGGAAAATTTTTTTGGCTTTTAGCAACATTGCAAATTCCCTCAAGGGATTTGCAAGAGAGTTTTTTTAAATTGCAAAAGTAATGAGGAAAATTGCAATCAATTTAGAAACTCAAAAGAGGAACGCTTCACATAGTTTACCTGTAATGGGTTAACTAGGCACATAGGCAGATTAACTAGCTCTCCCCTTGATTTGTTACCAAAGGCTTATTATTTTATTTATGCCATTTACGTGCGGTTTAACTCACAGCCGTTTGTTTGTGGGTGTTAGGGTATTGTCAGGGTTTTATTAAACGATTACAGCAAAGAATGCCAAGTTTATTCGTTTTATAAGTTTAAAAGATGTATGTGAGGTAGCCAAACCCAATGTGGTGTGTATGGGTGTATACACCAATTTTTAGTTAATAATTGGTAAATAATTATTCATTACATTCACATCATGCCATGTACTCAATACGATGGGTCATTCCGGAAAACATCCACACCACCCCCACAAAGGAAATTGGAGGTTAGCACGCCTACCCAGCTACCCCCTCCGAAAGTCAGAAATTCCATCTGCGGGAGTTGTAAGGATCTTTTCTGGAATGACCCGATTGTTAAAAACTTCAGTTTTACAACTTCAAATTATGCTTGTTTGTAAAGCAAGCAAGAATATTTTAAAATCTAAAGTCGTATTGTTCCATTCGCACAATATTTATTTGAAACAATATCGACACAAAATATTTGGTATATTTAAAAGCCTAATATAGGTATAAAATTACGCTAAAAATACACATTGAATGCCTGAGAATTTTATCTTTTAATAAAAAAATCCAGATGATGTCTACAAAGTATTAAACAAAAGCGAATAAGCATGACCACAGCCGAGGGTATGGCGTCATAATGTGGTATGAAAATATCACACAGCAAAAATGCGTCACAAAACTTGCCTTTGTAATGGACTCTCAAGTTCGTTTGAGACAAACCGATGAATGTACATTTATCCTTGGGACTCCAAGACCTTGGTAAAGGCGTTTCAGACTCATCAACTTTGGGATACAAGCGAGAAATCG